CACCATTTCGAAAACTAGATTGTTTGTTATAGATTGCCATTCGTTGTATAATAGAAATAACGCTTATGTTGTTGTTGTTGCATAATAAAATCTCATACGCGTTGAAAAATGATTCTAAGCTGAATGTTGTAAATTAAGATTGTTTTGTGTTTATAAACTAAGTTAGTGTGTATTTGTCTGGGTGTGTATGTACAGTATTGTATATCTCATGCTTATTATCGTTGTCGACAAAGCTGAACATGTCACAATGAGTCAGAGTGAAATGTCTGCATGGGGTTAATGACCCACAGGTGGAAATGAAAAGAACGTGTATATGCTGCAGATTGTCTTACAGAAGTACCTTTGCCAAATGTACGCAATTAAATGTACGTTTAAATCTGTATACAACCCTTAGTAACACTGCCCACCTTTGTAAAATACATGTAATACAAATAAATATCCATAATTGAAAAAAAACAACAAAAAAAACGTAAGTTGTGATCTCAGTCAAATAATGGATCATAGCAGACAGTAAGATTGTCATTAAACAATCTTTTAATTTAATTACATCTGGATATTGATGATGTAATCGTATGTGGACTTCCATTGTAACACCGTCTACCCTTATAAAGTTCATGTAAGATAAAACTATAAACTATCCTGTGTAAAATGAAATATTTTGTCAAATTATATGGATAGCATGAAGTCAAACTAGTGAAACAGTAAATTTTAAATTATTACATGATATTTAAATAAGTGTGTTTTTTTTCTGGACGATTTACGTTTAAATGGTCAGGAAATGTAATTAAATATAGAACTAATAAATTAGTATTAAGCGTCCTTTTTCAGGACGAATTACATATAGATGGTCAGGAAATGTAATTAGATATAGAACAAATGAATTAATGTTTTACACCGACTGTATTAAATCTAACCATGTTAAGAAACTTCTTGAAACCATGACATCATATCCGCCTTCATGGCGGTCTAGTACCGCGCCCTCTAGTTCCACTTCGTGAAACTATTACATAATCGTCTCTGACGTTCCACTGTCATGGCACCCTAGCAACACGTCCCTAACAACGTACTCTCTCTCATGACATCACTGTCTCTACCCCTTCACTAACCCCACTGCCTGAGGTGGACGTATAGCATCCTCTGGCGGCGCGTCTGAAGTACACTTTTTCATCTACAGCAATTTAACAAATCACGGGCTTGGCATGACCTGCTAATTAAGTTGGTTGACTGTAAACTTGCAGGTCGTGGGATCGAAACCCGTTATCAAAAATCTTCGCCGCGCCTTCATCAACCATGAAGGCGCTATAAAGTGAAGGTCAATCCCACTATTCCTTGTTAAAGAGTAGTCCAAGAGTTGTTGGTGTTGTCTAGTTGTAGTCCATCACTTCGAAATTAGGGACGACTAGCCCAGATAGCACCCGAGTAACTTTGCGTGCAATTCAACAACAAATGAAAACTAATTAAGAGTTTTTTCGTTTTTAGTTAACAGTTCACCAGCTTTAAATCTTTATCTGTAGTGATGTATTAGCTTTAATTTATATAGTAATTCACCGTTTTTAACTTTATAGTAGTTGATCTGGGTTTAAATCATTTATTCGTTTAATAACTTTCGTAGTAGCGTACCGGCTATAATTTGTATAACATAATATATTTATTTATAACACAAGCTACTGTAGATTTTACTGCTGTTCACTCTATTAAAGAAAACAACAACAACAACAACAAAACTTAAAAAGTATGAATCAACGTGAACTCTAAGATTTCATTAGCCCTACGTGACGTCGTATCATTTTATCTTAATGATTGTTGGTAGTTACTTTGATCCAACCAATGACCATATATTTTTAAAAGGTGGTTCAGTATATATAACCATATCACCGATACAAATGATTTTGTGTTCCTGTTATTGTGTTTCAATAGTTTTGGTTTGTTGAATAAATGTCAATAAATCTATTTCGTCGTACGAACACATTTTGTAATATTTTTCCGATACATCTGTGGTTGTTGTAGTTTGTTGAATTCACAGAAAAATACTGTTTCCACACTTCAATCGAAACTATGAGGCATATTTGTTGTTGTTTTGCCTCAGAGCCATTGACCAGTGGTTATTTTTTCAATTTTTGGACTACATGATTCTTCAGATATTTACGTTCGATCTTGCCGAACTGTGACCGAGGAATTTTGTCTATAAACTCCAATCCCTTCAGCTGTTTCTGTGGCGCTAGACGAGCTGTTAAAATAGAACACAGCCTAATAAGGTAAAGCTTTATCTTAAAGCTAGCACATCAGTGCAAGTCTATTAAAGCTGAGCTTTATTTTAAATTTTAAGACACTAGTGGAAGTCTGGTAAAACTTGACTATTTCTTAAAAGCTATCAATCTTGTTTACGCATGGAACTGTAAATATAAATGTATCTATGCTAAGTCATGAAATGTTGAAATTATCACTTACAGTGCAGTGTTTATCAAAATGGAACGATATTATCGGTATATGCTGGTTGTATATAAACATTTATGCATTTTGATGTACTTTTTGAATATTAATTGTTAAAATAGAAAAACTGTATAGGAGGAGTTTGTACACTTTTCAGTAATCTCGAAAATGTTACTTAATAATTATATAACATCCTTGTCACCTCTAGTGGTTAATTGGTAAGTTTATAACATTAAAAATAAATCAGGTTCTGTACCAGTGGTGGACAGAACGATGATAGCCCATTGTGTAGCTTTGGGGTCAAAAACGAACAAACAAGTATTCTTATATATAAGTATTCTACTTTCCAATATGAATGTTTATAACATAGAGGGTCCAACATAAACGAAAAGAAAAACTAAGGTCATTTTAATTGTTGCGAATCATTAAAGAGGAAATGGTTTAACTTTGTAGAGATGACATAAAGTTCGAATAATTGTTTACGGGTGAAACCAAGATACTGGTTACTGTCAGTAGTAAAAATAAGGTCCACGATTAAATTTATAGTTTCATCAAGGGGAATATTAGTAGAGCGAGATTCAATATAAAACTGGCCATAACTTTCCACAAAGTTAAACCATTTCCTTCTTAATGACGTCTTTTATGACCAGATAGATGGCATCACCATTGGATCCCCGCTGGGTCCAACGATAGCCAATAGTTTTCTATGCTATCATGAACGCAAGTGGCTAGAAAACTGCCCATGTGAATTCAAACCTGTCCTTTACAAACGCTATATTGATGACATTGTCTTGCTGTTTCGACAATCAAGTCACGTTTCCTAGTTCCTTTCTTACCTTAATTCCCAACATCCCAATATCAAGTTCACATCCGAACTCCAGGAACTTCCCGTTCCTAGATCAGGATTACCAAAGAAGATAAACACTTTTCTATCTCTGTTTATCATAAAGGAACTTTTACTGGTCTCTATACCAATTTTAACAGCTTTGTCCCAAACTTCTTCAAACATAATTTGGTCATATCATTGTTAAACAGAATGTTTAATCCTTGTTCTAATTACTCTATTTTACACGAACAAATTACCCTTCTACACAAACACATGTTAAATAATGACTATCCGGCTAATTTTCTAACGAAGATTACATGCAATTTCTAAAACAACATGTTCCAACCATCAGCCAATGTGCACACCGTCTCAAATTCCCCTCATTATCTTCCTTCCTTTTATGGGTTCATAATCCTTACAAATTAAAAAACAACTCTCCCCTCTAATAACAAAAACTTATACCCTCAAAATCAACTCAGACTAATTTACAGGCCTCCACATTCGAAACTTATTTCAATAAAAAAGATCAACTACCTAAACTTTTACGTTCATGGCTCGTGTATAAATATACGTGTAGTGACTGTACCGTCACGTGCATTGGCAAAACAAATCGCCACTTAAAAACTAGAGTCTATGAACATTTAGGAGTATCAAACAGAACCGACCGTCCACTACTCAAACCCAGCCACTCATCCGTTCGTTCACATACTGAAGTCATAGCTAAAGACCGCCCTACTCTTTACGGCCCAAAAACTTCTGTAGATCTAAAATAATTCTAAATTTACACACTTAAAACTCAACCGTTTTGCAATATATCTATAATCTTTTGTTTTATCCTTCCATTTATCACTTTACTTAATAAATAAATTAACTAGTGATTAATGATACTATAGTTTTAGTTAATAATCGTCTTTCTAACACGATTTTTAGATTTCACTGAGGGTGGAATGGATGTATTCCGAACCTTTCGAACCTTCAAAACAAAATGTTTTATGCTTCTTTTTTCAACCATCTTCATCGTCATTATTAGACTTTGGTTTCCCATCATTAATCTATTGCCACTGTTAGATTGATTTTAAACCAAACGATGGCGTTGCAGTTGGTCCTTGATGAACTTTTTATTATTTGTTTGTTTGAAGTTAATCACAAAGCTACACAATGGGCTATCTGTGCTCTGCCAACCACGGGTATCGAAACTCGGTTTCTAGCGTTGTAAGTCCGCATAGATACCGCTGTGCCACTGGGGGCGCTGAACTGTGTATTGTGTGCACTAACTGTAGGCTAAATATTACATAAATGGCTCTAATTTAATACATCTACCAACTATATAAATTGAAATACACGTATAATACTAATAATATTTACTTTCATAACGACAGCGGTTTCCTTACTTTGAGACATAATTATTAGTTGTCACCAATCTGCCGCTAGTCGGTTTCAATTTTGTATCGTGGCTTTTTCAAGAAGAAAGAGCGTATAAAAAGTTTTCAACCACACTTTTCAGCCGTATTCAGTGTGTGACTGAAATGCTATTATACACTTTTATTATTCTTGAAAAAGCCGTAAGAGACTGAATAAGGAATGTAATGTTATAAAATTTAACGGGCCTAATACTGCTCTCTTATGAAAATTATAATTAATTAAAATCATCATTCGCCAGCTTTGGAAGGACATTCACACTATAGCAATTATTGACGTTGCATGCTCATTGTTTGAGTAACATTTATATGCAGGCCCTTTGTTTAGTATTTGTTATACTATTCGTACATTACAATACTTTGGAAGATATCAGAGACTGCAAAAGTTAATGTATTATCCAATTCTACCAATCATATATGTATACATTTTTTATAATAAAAACATCGTACCTGAAATAAAACAGAGTATATTTTCAGGTGTCACGTGACTACCTGTTTTGATCACCACAAGTCCATAAGGTACTTCTCCTAATGTGGAATCTGGGATTCCAACTACAGCAGCGTCCTCTATTGCCTGATGGCTACATAAAACAGACTCTATTTCAGTAGGAGAAACTTGATGAAATCCTGATTTGATCATTTCTTTTAATCTGTCAGTGATGTAAATATTTCCTTCTAAGTCGTAATGGCCAAAATCTCCTGTTGAGAACAATTATCATTGATAAGTGGGTAACGGTCTAAAATGAACACGTTGCAACAATCAGGGTTCAACAACAAAAACACAATTTATTCATAATAACAACACTAAAAAATAACTTCAACACAGTTAATAAAGAAATGCCTGGTAAGGACTTCACACCAATATTAATAAACAATTTATCATAAATATTAATAAATCAATAACAGTAGGATCAGGAAAAAGAACCAGAAAAAAAAACATACCTTATTCCCAAAATAAAAAAATACAGCAAATACAATATTCAAATAATATCTTTCACTATCGAGTGACAAACAGCAATAACTTTATCTCTCTCTTAGTGAAATTTCTGGTAGGGTATTTATTCACAGAGTAGGTCACGAGAGTACAACCTCATGTGATCATAAATTTACATACTCTTCTGCTATATTAATAGTATCTGTACGTCACCACTAGGGAAGCTGATGTTAGTTTTGTTGTGCACACCTATATATTTACCGTATTTTTCGGTTTTAGCACTTTTTTACTCCAAAATTTGATGTCAAAATCTGCTTGCGTCCTATACACCGAAGGTATGAATAATATATATATATATATATACGATATACACAAGCCATGTGT